AAAATGCGAACCCCCCCCCCCCACTTGGACAGGTAAAAACTTTTTTCTGGTAATAGTGTCCGCTTTGCACAAAATACGGACATCGGCAGCTTTGTTAGGGGGTTTATGTACAAAACATCAGATTTTGCCCAAATTTGGAAAGGTTAACCCCTTGCAGTCTTTGATTTTTCATACAATCTTATTTTGCCCAATTTTGCTAAAAATGCAAGGTTAACCCATTACAATCTGAAATTTTCTAGAAACACCTGATTGTGCCCTATTTTGGTAAAAAATGCAAGGTTAACCCCGTACAATTTGAAATTTTTCATAAACAGCTAATTTTGCCCAATTATATTCAAAAAGCGAGGTTAACCACTTACATCTGAAATTTTTCATAAACATATAATTTTGCCCAATTTCAATAAAATATGCAAGGTTCACCCCTTAAAATCTGAATTTTTTCATTTACATCTCATTTTGCCCCATTTTGCTAAAAATGCAAGGTTAACCCCTTACATTCTAAAACTTTTCATAAACATCTAATTTTGCCAAATTTCACTAAAAAAAACAAGGTTAACCTCTTACATCTGAAATTTTTCAGAAACATCTGATTTTGCCAAATTTTGCTAAAATATGCAAGGTTAACCCCTAACAATCTGAAATTTTCCATAAACACCTAATTTTGCCCTATTTTCCTAGTAATGCAAGGTTAACCCCTTACAATTTGAAATTTCCCAGAAATATCTGATTTTGCCCTAATTTTTTCATACAAATCAGATTTTTCCCAATTTTGCTAAAAATGCAAGGTTAACCCCTTAAATTCAAAAATTGTCCAGAAATCTGTGATTTTGTCCTATTTTGTTAAAAAATGCAAGGTTAACCCCTTTAAATTTGACAGTTTTCATAAACATTTAATTTTGCCATATGCAAAGTTCATTGACCTCTAAAGGTCATCAGAGGTCAAATATGAAATGTCTCCATATCGGAAATTTTCCATAAACATCTAATTTTTCCAAAATTTGCTGAAAATGCAAGGTTGACCTTTTACAATTTGAGATTTTTCATAAAAATCTGAGATTGCCCAGTTTTGCTAAAAATGCAAGGTTAATCACTTACATCTGAAATTTTCCAGAAACATCTGATTTTGCCCTAATTTGGCAAGCTTAACCCCTTACAATTTGAATTTTTTCATAAACGTCTAATTTTGCCAAATTTCACCAAAAATTCAAGGTCAAAGCCTTACAATTTGAAATTGTTCATAAACATCTCATTTTGCCCAATGTTATTCAAAAAGCAAGGTTAATCCCTTACATCTGAAATTGTTCAGAAACATTCAATTTTGCCAAATTTTTCTCAAAATGCAAGGGTAACCCCTTTCAATCTGCAATTTTCCAGAAACATCGGATTTTTCCCTAATTTGGCAAGGTTAACCTCTTAGGCCTACAATTTTGGAGTCTTCATACAAATCAGATTTTTCCCAATTTAGCGAAAAAATGCCAGGTTAACCCCTAACAATCTGAAATTTTTCAGAAACATCTAACTTTGCCCAATTTTGCTAAAAATGCAAGGTTCACCCCTTACAATTTGAGATTTTTCATAAAAATCTGAGATTGCCCAGTTTTGCTAAAAATGCAAGGTTAATCACTTACATCTGAAATTTTCCAGAAACATCTGATTTTGCCCTAATTTGGCAAGGTTAACCCCTTACCATTTGAATTTTTTCATAAACGTCTAATTTTGCCAAATTTCACCAAAAAAGCAAGGTCAAAGCCTTACAATCTGAAATTTTTCAGAAACATCTAATTTTGCCCAATGTTATTCAAAAAACAAGGTTAATCCCTTACATCTGAAATTGTTCAGAAACATTCAATTTTGCCAAATTTTGCTCAAAATGCAAGGTTAACCCCTTTCAATTTGCAATTTTCCAGAAACATCGGATTTTTCCCTAATTTGGCAAGGTTAACCCCTTAGGCCTATAATTTTGGAGTCTGCATACAAATCAGATTTTTCCCAATTTAGCGAAAAAATGCCAGGTTAACCCCTAACAATCTGAAATTTTCCATAAACACCTGATTTTGCCCTATTTTGCCAACAAATGCAAGGTTAACGCTCTGCAATTTGAAACTTTTCATAAACATCTAATTTTGCCCAATGTTATTCAAAAGAGCAAGGTTAACCCCTTACATCTCAAATCTTTCAGAAACATGTCATTTTGCCCAATTTCGCTTAAGAAATGCGAGGTCAACCCCTTACAATTTGAAATTTTTCATAATCATCTAACTTTGCCAAATTTCACTAAAAAAAGCAAGGTTAATCCCTTACATCTGAAATTTTTCAGAAACATTCAATTTTATCTAATTTTGCTAAAAATGCAAGGTGAACCACTTTCAATCTGCAATTTGCCAGAAACATCTGATATTGCCCTTATTTGGCAAGGTTAACCCATTGCAATTTTTGATGTTTCATACAAATCTGATTTTGCCCAATTTTGCTAAAAATGCAAGGTTAACCCCTTTCAATCGGCAGTTTTCCAGAAACGACTGATTTTGCCCTTATTTGGCAAAGTTAACCCCTTGCAATTTTTGATTTTTCATACAAACCTGATTTTTCCCAATTTTGCTACAAATGCAAGGTTAACCCCTTAAATTCAAAAATTGTCCAGAAATCTGTGATTTTGTCCTATTTTGTTAAAAAATGCAAGGTTAACCCCTTTCAATTTGACAGTTTTCATAAACATTTAATTTTGCCATATGCAAAGTTCATTGACCTCTAAAGGTCACCAGAGGTCAAATATGAAATGCCTCTGTATCTGAAATTTTTTGTCATGGCATGAAGAACCAACATGCCAAGTTTCATGCTTTTATCACAATTTGCACAATACTTAAGCATATTGTGGCTATGCCGCACCACCAATAGTGTTAATAATCGTCGGACACGAACAGCGCCCCCATTGAAAGTATGGCACGAGCTCCCCCCCCCCTCCCCCACCACCACCACCTTTTCATTGATTCATGACATACACCTCTGTTTCCGATTTTCAAAATTACCATGCATCTGTCGAGCAGATGTAAATATCAAACTAAACCAAAGTATAAAAGATAGAGGATAAAAAAAATCAAAAAGTTATGTGCTAGTCAAGCTTTCAGGGATTGGTCTGAGCCATAACAATGCCCCAGCCAATCCCTTAGTTCTCTTCCGGGGTCTCGGCGTCCCTGACCAATACACACTTCCTTCCCTGTCCATCCATATAGCCCCGGAGGGCCAGGCACCATGTAAAAGCAAAGAGCTAAGGGAGGAACAGGGCGGCCCCTAAGCCCTGATCCTCCGAGTGGACCACATGCCCTGAACCTGTACGAAGGCGCCAACCTGGAACTCGCGGACAGTACCAGCAGCAGTGCTTACCGATTACGCTAAGGTACTGTTGGTATTTTACGACGGGAAATTAAACATCTTATATAATGACTGAACGAGTGCGATTAAAACCAAAAAGACGCCGAGGGGGATTCGAACCCGTGCCCCGCGCGATGTGTGGACGACGAATCTAACCACTAGGCCATTCGGCTTTCTTAGATTTCTTCTCAAAAATAGGCCTAATAGGCTGAGAAACGTGGAGCATTGGTGGGTCCATCTGTTTGGGCTCCATGGACGAAAAGAAGTTGACATTTCGGGCATAATGAGGCTACTGTTTTCGTTTCTTTGGAAATTGTATACGGCAGCTTCGTTATTCGTAGGCCTCCGTGTGCTAAACGTATTTCTAGTTACGCTGCTACGCAACAATGAAAACTATTATTATGCAGGCCTTTTTTTTGAAAAAGACAGCAGGCGTGCAGGGGCGGATCCACTGAGGAATGTTGGCGGGGGGGGGGGGGGAAGGGGTCAGAGATGTTAGAGATGTCTATATCCGATTGTTGCAGACAGGCGGACCGTATCATTATTATAATTGTTACACATTTTTGTGTGCGTCAGAGCGGGGTTGGGGTTGGCCGGGGGGGTCGAACCCCTCTCAGGTGATCCGCTCCTGACTTCTATTCTTCGTATATTTGGACAAAAACAGATTCTCAACTCCCCTACTACTATTTTTAAATCGTACGGACGTCTTTAAAAAGGACACGATTTTTTACGGATTTGTTTGTTAACACTGTACATTAGGCCTATATGCATATTCCGTTCGCTGTTCCCAACAGTCCTTCGTCAGCCTGTTATCAAACATTAGTTTCGTGAAAAATAATATGAACTGGAAGTTCTCATCCTTAATTTTCCAAAAAAAAACGACTATTAAAATGTAGACAACATTACACCAAGACACCACATTACACTACGGGCGCTGTTCATGATACCGACATGCATCTTAATGCATAGCGCTTCGCTCGTCCCCCCGCCCTGCAAACAGCCAGGGCCTAGGGCGCTGGGCCGGGAAGGGCTGACGAGCTTCGCAGAATCTTGTGGAGGACGGCGGGGCTGGCATCTTTGGTAACTTATCATGGCCTATATATAAAGACATTATTAAAGCTGCTGTGGCCGTTCAAAAGGTGCAGGCTAGTCCGGTTCCCCAGACCCCATTGTCCTTTGGACTTCAAAAATATCTTTAGGTGCACGGGACGGGAAACAGTCTAGGTGCAGGCCAGTAAATTCGGTCCGAAATTGCCTACGCCGGCCAAATCACGATTTGCATGCCCTCAAATTCTTCAGTATTTAGGCATATTGTGGGCTATGAACTTGAGCACATTATTAGTACATTTTCGTAAAAATTGGTACCTCAGTTGATCCTGTCTTAACTGGGGCTTGCAGTCGACTCACTGCCATGCATATACGGAGTTTCTAAGGGGCGTGGCTAACTTACAACAGGTGGTTTGCCTCACGCGCCGAGGGCGTCTTTTTATTCTATATGCGTCCACCGTGCAGGGAATGCGCGTATAGTACATGACGCGATTCCGATTCTTATGTTGCTTGCACGCTGACAAAAACACCCGCATAGAACGCTAGCGCTCGATCTATCCAACTGGTTTTTTATATTATTCAGCTAGTTTGTTGCATGCCTCAGAATCACAAAATAGCGGAGTTCTGCTGTTAGTGTCATCACCAAACTGAACCATAGACCATTTTTGAAGAACGTATGTCCATAATACAACGATGGGCATCGGCGTCAGTTCGTGCATCGGCCGCCGGAAGAAGGTAGGCAAGTACCGCGTCAACGATCCCCGCCGGGCACGCAACGAGTGTCTTGCCACTCTATCCGACTTTGGAATGAAGGATGGGGAGCTGTGTGTCCGGTACAAGGGCTTGAATCAGCCCCTGCCTCGCCCTCTTGAAGCTCAAGCGAAAAAAGGTAAGAAAGCAGTTAAAGGGGGCCGTTCCTTTAAATTAATTAAGATCACGAAGTCCACTTTTACTTGAACTGACCAAATACTGAAATGTGCTAGCGAAGTTGGAAAGCGACAAAAACATCGTGCAGAGAGAGCAGGATTTTTAATTGAGAGGAATTTTTTGGTATAAAACGAAAATGACGTATGACGAAAATTAAAACACACGAAAACGAAAATAGCGATACATTACGCGTGATGCATGTTGAAAGTTAGTGAACGCAGAGAACTGTGTTGATTTGCACGGCATCAACAGAAAATCGTTAAGAAAGAATTTTTTTCTGGTAAAATAGGCCCATGGGCATGCCGTTGAAAATCTTGAAAACTAGTAGGATAAGATAGGCTTTTGCTTTGGATCATAAGTCAAATAACGGCAAAAAGAGTTTTAGAACTAGAGAGATACGTTGGCGTAACGGGGGGGGGGGGGGTTTCAGGCATGTACGTGCTCCCCCCCCCCCCGCGTTGATGAGTTTCCCCCTCTAGAAAATGAGGCCCTTAAATTCCATCCCCCACCCCTGCAAATTTGATCCCATACGCTACTGTTAGAGGAGTACTACTGGGTCTACTTTATTTCCCGAAAAAAAGCTCCCAAAGTTACAGTGGCTGCGGATGAAGTTGATGCAGTGCCGGGCGATAACGAGAAGAATGAAGCGGTGGAGGAGATGATGACGTGTCACAATCATGGTCCTCTGCCTGCGGGGGTCGACGGCGGCACGGAGGTACCTCATCCCGACCTACCGAAGGGCGTGACTTGCATCACGTGTGCGGCTACTATCATGGAGAAGGGGCAGGAACAAGAAATGGTTCGTCGAGCTGTTGCTGCCTTGTCCTGTACTTTTTTGTAGGCCTACAGAGGTTATAAATATCTGAAAATAACAGTGGGGTATTCGGGAAGGGGTGTGTGTGGAGGATCGGATCAATCGATGATGGAGTTTTTCGGGATAAGGCGGAATAATCCCTCCCTGGTTACGAGTGCAAGCTAATGTTTTTGTAGAGGATGTAGGGAAGGACAAATTGTTGACAAAGGAGAAGTTTCTTATGAAATAATATGCAACTCTCTAAATTCTAAAGAGTGAAAATTCACTCCATTCGAGATGAAGATTCATTCCCCCAGTTGGAAACTAGGGACCAGACGTTTTGAGTGAAATTTCCTCAATCGTAAAGATCAAGGTTTCACGCGAGCTTCGATTGAGGTGGTTCATGTTTCAGACTATGTCAATCGAAAATGAGAGTGATTTTCACTCTAAAACGTCTAGTCCCTAATTTCACTCTTTGAAATTTAAAGAGAACATCATTAAAGTCATTTCAGAAAGACATCTACAGCATTTCGTGTTTTAACTGAATCCGTGTTTGAAAGTGACGCAGTCCTATTTGTTTTCCTCTGCGATGCATTGCCAACTATACCATTCGACAGATACATAAATTAATTTGCGTTGGTTGCTGTACGGCTCTCTCGCATTGTCACTATCGACAATATCATTATTTTCTGATACATTTCCTATATACAGGGAGAGAAGGTTCTTTTAGATAAGGACACCGCGAAAGCAACCCAGGAAACAAGAACAGTTGAAGAGGATAAAGATGCAGTCACAGCGAATGCCGAAGACGGAAAACTGACAGATCAGGGTAAAGGTACACATATTTAATTACGGTGTTCTGTGGTGTGTGTTGGTGTAATAATGTTGCCGAATGTCGTGCCATTTTATGTTGAATTTTTAATTTAGGAGTAGCCTAAGTAAGAAAGTTTGCAAAAGGAATTTCGTCCAACGCCTGAAACACTCGGCCACCACGACCCATATTTCACGCTTCACAATATAGATTTACATTGTGTGTGTAACTATGTAGATATACATGTATGTATAGGCCTATAGACCATTGTCATGTTGCGGCCATCTTGATTTTTTCCCCATTCAAATCAACGTAACCAAAGCGGGGCTGGAAGGAGAAATAGTCTGGTTCCTTTTTGCACAACAAAAATTATCATTCACTACTGTTATTGGATACAGGGAACATGACTGAAATGGTGGCAGCATGATAAAGGTCTATTGGCCTGTTATACTCGTCATAAAGTCTTCCCTTTCTTTTTTTCCTCAAATACAGGCTGCGCTGTCTGTGATTTTGTTTACTTGTATTTTGTTAACTCGTGAAATTGGTTACTCATAGTTTCCTACAGATCGATTGTCGTTTTCTTCAGACTCAGATGATTGTTTCCCTGAAGGTTGTTTTTGTAATGTTTCCGACCATAAAGACTAAAACGTTGGTGTCGTAAGCTTTTGTTTTATCATACAAAACGTATTAAAGAATAGGGCTGGAAACTAAATTTGATTAATGCTGACCTTTCTTCCTTCTTATCAATTCAATTCAATTTTGTTTTGTCTAGAAATTTGGTGCCTATACGGACATGTCTCAAAATACACTTAAAAGACACATTAATACAGTAATACACAAATGAAATAATTTTATCAAATGCAGATACGGTTAAAAGTGATCCCGCATCGGGCGACAAGACAGCTCGAGGTCCTCGCCGGTAAGTCTATATAGACTCCAGAAAACACTCTAAAATATTGAAAAGGAGGTTAAACATCTAGCCCTGAAGAGAAAGATTTTGTTTAAAGAAAATACTAAAATTTGAAACTGTCATTATTTGTAGTGCTTGCCACCCACCAATAACACTTTCATACCATATATATTAAACAGGGCCGTTATAGTTGCCGAAGGCATCTTTTTTTTTTCAATGAAAAGAATTGTCGTTTGTTTTAGTCACGGAACTCAGCTTTTAAAGTGCTTTTTGTTTGGCAGGAGGCGGCGACACAACGCATTAGACAAAGCCCATCCTGCGGTGGTGAAAGCTGAATAAGTCAGGAACCACAATGCAATATTTTCCGAGATGAATCGGCTGATAGTCCTTGACATCACCATCTCTTCGAATTAAAAGGTTCTAAAACCAGTTTACTTTTTCAGTTTTAAGTATCGTAAGGTATTATTATTGATGTACACTAGAATATACATCCATTGTCCAAGTTCGAGGAACGTTCACTTTAAATGTGTATATGCCACCCGTACCGTGCTTTTGATCATCCATTACGAGTTTTCCTCCTGTTTTCCAACTCCTGCGTTTTGAAACGAAAAAAAAAAACTTCTGAAAAAAAAAAATTGGGGGTCACATTTGCGCCTTTTACGCACAAAATATTTTATAGTTGGGGTGCAAATAATTAGGTACGTCCTAGTTGGTTGGCCTTCTTTAGTCTGACACTTCTTTTCATTACGATAAACATAGAATTCTAAATTATATTATAACATTTTAAAATGCTGTAGACGTTTCCCTTGAAAAGTTTACATATTATACTATAATTTAATTCTCATATTTCTTCAATATGAATACAAAAATACCTTCGCTATTGAAATGTTAAGAATTTAGTCAAGTATTGCTTATTCCTATAAGGCAATTTCCCCGCGTCAATATTTAACCCTTTGGTTAATATTTCGAAAAAGACAAACCCAAACCAACATTCACACCGTGACACCAAAATTATATTCAAATATCGTTTCAATGAGATATCGCGGCTGAATTCCTTGGCCCAGTACTATATTATTTATAAACAACAGACCTACAGTTAAAATAGCTGGACTTTCTCTTATCTCGGAAGCGAAGTTTTAGCAATCTGTGTGCTGAATCTTCCGGAGAGAACAGACAAAGGGGCGGATCCATATTGGACTCAAGGGGGTTTAGCTCTTCACAGCGATGAATTAAGAGGGGCTTGGTAACAAAATTCACGCGTACAGGGGCAGCGAGTCATCGACACTCAGCAAACTATGTAACACTTCACAAACTTGTCACAAAACGTCCGACTTGCAACAACTTACAAAACCAGTCGAAAACGGTTTGACTTGTGTTCACAAAAAGCCAACTTTAATAGCCAAGATGAAATTTCTTGGATTACAATGTATTTCCCTCATCGTCATAAAAAAATACAGTCTTTAACTACATACAAAGTGACTAGTCCCCGATAAGTACTTCAAACAAGTTTACCATCGAGATATCTCATAGTAGTCACTTTGCTATAACTTGAGGTACACAATTACGATCCCGAAACTGAATGTGGTTTTTTTTCGCTAGCAATAAATTGAAAATTGAAATTAACCTTTATCGCAAATAAACAGATAATTAGCCACTGTACACTAAAGGGAAACTATGTCACAATTAAATTAATGTAACTTTGAACAAGAAAACTGCTCAGGCAAGATTTGAACCTTCGCCCGCCGGAAATAAAAGAAATTGTCGGAAAATTCAAACGAGGCAAACAAGTGCAATGTTTAATTCTTTTTTCTGTTAGTTAGTATGTAACATTAGTTTCCTTAAGTAATTCGTCTGACAATCCAATACTTATATTTTAATTTTCGTATTCCTATATAATCACAAATTTCCGTATCCGATCAATATTATTATAAAATATCCATATCAATATCCATATCAATATTCAATTTTAATTCAAATCAGTCCAAGACATTTAAGTCTCAAGAATATATCCTACTTACTTATATTCCACTTTAATCTAGAACATATATCACACATTTACATAATTCCAATAAACATTTAGAACTTTTGATGACAAAAAGCTCATTCTGGCGTACCATCTCGCATGTGCTTCATGAAATCAACCTGAAAAGATTCCCCTACTTCCCCATGAAATCTTCTGGTTATCTCCGTGTTATAATCAAACGGTGAGATAAACTGTGGCTCGCTCACCATTTTGATGTGAACCGTTGTGGTCCACCAATCATCATCTCGCAACCCTTCCTGTTCCAATTTACGCAGTCACAACCCAAATACAGTCGACTCTCCTTAGTACAAACTCTATTAATACAAAATTCTGGTTATAACAAACATAAAGCCTTGGTCCCGACTGTGCATTTATGTGCACAATGAATGGGACTCAATTTCCTCTTAATACAAAATTCTGATATAACAAACAATTTGGCTAGGTCCGAATGAGTTTCTTATAATGAGACTCGACAGTACATGGGATTTTGCCCTAAACATTAGTAGAATGTAGTAGAAACAATCGTTTTCTTAAAGATTTTTCTCTCAAGTTAATTTTGCACCTTCCAGACAACCTCACCCTTATTCAGTATTTGTTCATTATATCACGATAGTTTTCGTGGAATCGCATTGATAAGTGATCGACGTTAAACATTGAGATAAATACAACTTTTAATCTTTTTATATAAATACTTTTCAAAACAATCTGTACAAAATTAATAAGTTCCACTTGGAAGTAATCAACAACAGTTATTTCTCAATTTCAATTTTTTTTTTAACTTACACCTTAATTTCAACTAATACAGTCATGTTCTACAAGTGAAATGTCATCATGAATGACCGGACTGTTCACAAAACTATGGCATGTAATGTCAACCCTTGGCAATATTTATGTGAACGGGATGCACTAAAGCAAGTTGTCAAATGAGGCTGAAGTGCACTTTGATTGTCACTACTTCACCACTGGAGGAGATTAAGCATCCCTTCCAACCCAATGCCAAATATTTGTGTGGAATCATCGATGTGGTACATACGTGTAGTTGCTCAAACTACACCGAGGCATCATAAAGATTGGCTAACGGCAATGCAGATTTACAAATGTTTATAATTAACATATAAGGTACGTATATATGCTACATTATTATTTATATCAGGCTTCCAGTGGTAAAATGAAATCACCGTATTGTATGATTTTGTAAAACGTACCCGGATGACAGAAATATTGTCAGTACAAGTACCCGGATTGCGGGCAATATTACTTTTGATATTGTCCTGCGGCCCTCATCCAGGCATTTTCGCTGGTTCCTGCACGATCAAGAGCGTAGAACCTCACAGTTGTCAACCACTCATCAGAGCAGAGCGCGGGACCGTCAAACACAGATGCCCACGCAGCACGCAGTGGGCCAGGTATACGCGCACTGATTTCAATAATCACGATGGCAGCTTCAAATAGTTTGACGAAATAAGAGAAATGAGGACAGTGTCTTGAATTGTATTTCTTGCAAATCAAGTCAGCCTGACATAAATAAAAACAATACTATTGGATGGCTTTTTTTCGGGGAATACAAGAATATATTGCACTCGCTAAGACAATAATGCACTCGTCTTTGACACGTGCAATATTGTCATAGCTTGTGCAATATTGTTATATCTCGTGAAATATATTCTTGTACCCACCTCAAAGCCATCCAATATTATATAATTAAACCTGGTAAATAATACGTGTGCATTACATGTACTATAGATATCCACCAAGCCCCACCCCTTGATGTTTTAATCAATGACAGCTCTCACTGCCCTTATTGAAACTTTACACCAATGCCCCAAAGCGCTTCAAAAAAGTCTACCATGCTGCCCCTTACATAAAAAAGAAACATGAAGTTTGAACAAGCAGTGTTGTATTGGAGAGGCACATGTGTTGCCCACATATGAAGTGGGTGGGGCTTAACGGATCGGTCTATTCCTAGAATATTTCCATAATTCTAGAATTGGATCCAGAGAGGAAACCATCACACCAGCCGCTCTTGTTTGAGCATATCCTCAGCCTCCTCCTCTTCATTATCAGCACCTCTAGCGGTCGCTGCCCTGGAGGACCTGCCAGGCCCGCCTGAGTAATCCACAGCCCAGGACTTGTAGTTCTGCCAGTAGCTCTTCTCCGTCTGGCCCAAGGCAATGGACTTGGAGATGTGACGGCGCCGCCTCTTGTAGATGCAGACGCCAGTCATGATGATGAGGATCATGAAGAGGATGACTGCCACGCTGATGCAGACATAGGTGGCTATGCGGAGTCGACGATTTGTGATTATATCTATTTGGCAAAAGGTGAGAAATTGATATTAGCAAAGATCGGTGACGCTTCGCCTGGCACTTGATAAGAACATCAGTTCAAACCAATTGTTTTACGTAAAATTTTAGCCAAGAATTCAGGCATCACAGTCCACAGACACCCTCAGAGGAATACTAACACAGTGACTCCCTTGTCAACAAGGAACCTAGAGTGGTGTTCATACCTGACACAATACAAGTTGGATAGCAAGACCATCTGTAGAGCACTATCCAGTTGTGCAAAATTGATTTCTGAGAGGGTATTAACAGGAGTTATAAGCCACCTTGACTTTTGGATAACATGGACAACCAATCTCAGTTATGAAAGGAAAAATCAGGTTTTATTGGATAGCATGGTTAAAAATTCAAAGCCTGTTAATGACTTAAAGATTTGACAAGAAAAAAAAGCTACAAGACATCTTCTGATGACCCACACCTAGAAATACATGAGAAAGTATCCCGTACAGATATGGTAACCAAAATTATGGAAGACGGGTGTTTAACTGTGTTTGAAACGATAAAATACTGACTGGGTTACTCTAACAAAAGCAGTGACCAAATATTTGTGAAAACGCTAACTTACCAACTGCTCCTGAATCCGTGCTTGCCATGCCCGTTGCCTTTGGTTGGTCCGTGTATTCAGGTAAGATGAAGCTCACCTTCTCGCTCACATACTCTGTTGTTGCCGCCACATCATCATCCAAATCTGTACCTGGAGCTGGAGATGCTGTAATGGCGCCTGGCTCACGGGGAGGTGAAACTGGTACATTTACACGGTCCCTACCGGGTCGTGTCAAGTCTCTCCCATCGTCAGGAGAGTCTGTGAAATCATCCCCAATGAATCGGACGTCGATGTGAGATGTAGTATGGGCAGGTGATAAAGCGGTCTGTGCATCTGCTGGGACCGTGGATTCAACCTCTGGTGTACTTATGAGGGTGCTGGGTTCTGTGAGCCCTTCTACTGCATGGGGAGCTTCAGAAGGCGTTGACATAAGGCTGACATCTAGGTAATGCATTCTAAAGCCAGCACCTTTCCCAGAGTTAGACTTGAAAACTAATATAACCATATTATCTGAGGAGGTCATGGAGGTAGGGATGGCATTTCCACAGAACTCATGCAACATACCATCTATGGCTATGCTAACAGATGCTGATTCTTGTCGACAAGTGGCTTGATGTGTCTCAACCTCCTCATCCAAAGCAAAGTCTAGGAACTCCAGATGGATTCCATGACTACCTGGAATTTGTATGACCCAAGAGCACTCTTTGTCCTGGGGCATGCTCAGAGGAAAGTTAGGGGAGCTAATGATTCCCTCCGGCTCGCTGAGCAACTTATCACAGGAGCTTTCATATGGGCCACCTGTCACCACTGGGATGGTACTTTCTACTAATCCACTACTTCCTTCCACTGTCTTCAAGTCAGCTCTTCCATTTGTGGCACTTAGACTTGGAACTGGAGTTGTTGTGGATACAAATTCCCCTCCTACATCACCGATTCGAATCCCAGATGAGTACCTTGCTTTGAATCCTCGCCCTTCACCATAGGAACTACGGAACTCTAACTTAAGCTCACCAAGTGAAAGTACATCTTCATGTGCCGCATTTTGACAAATGATAATATTCGATGCTCCATCTTCAGAACTGTAAATGGTAAGGTCCAGATGTGTGTACAGCTTATTGCAATGGCCATCATCCTCTGTCTGGACATCAAAGTCAACGTCTTCAAAAGCTAGAGAAATGAATTTTCCCTGGCTGGTTCTGACGATCCATGCAGAGTAGGAGTCCTGGGGAAACTGTGCTGGGTAATTAGGTGAAGTGATTATTCCAGTTGGCGCTGTCATTTCAGTATATGCCCCATATGTTTTAGTTGACAACAGAGACTGAGGCGTTGTCAAAATGTCATCATGTCCTTTGAGGAAATATGACCAATCCATCTGCGAGACATCTTCAGATGGATTGTACATTTGGTAGGCAGCTTGAAACCCACGTCCAATTCCCAAATTGCTGAAGAAGTCCACTGTGAGTTGATGAGATCTGGGAGCAATGACTTCTGGTTGATGGTTGCCACAGAGAAGTTGTGTTCCCTCAATGCCACCCACACTATGGTAGCTGACTCTTACGTAGGAGTACTGGGAAGAGCACTCCTGATCCAACATGGGGTTGTCAACATCAAAGTCCAGAAACTTCAGGGCAACAAAGCGAGTGTTGACAGATGTCGTAATGATCCAAGAACAAAACATATTTGCAGGGTACATGTTTGGGTACTGTGGCGATGAAAACATCCCACTGGCCTCCTTGAAAATACTACTGCACACAGTTGGATATGTGTCCTTGGGTGTCGCTGGTGTCAACAGACGAGGCAGTGATGGTAAAACTGGAAGAGTTCTGGTCGTCAATGGTAAAGTGCTGTACTGTGCATGAAAACCTTCACTGTAACCTTGCAAGTCATTAAAAATGATCACAAGCACATTAGTAGAAGTGACAAAGTTGGGTGGTAGATCCTGACCGCAAAACACTTGAAAGAGAAACCTGGCATCTTCACCATCGATAACCTTGACATAGGCATACTGCTCATCACACTGATTATCAACTAATACAGAATCCAGATTAAAGAACGTGAAACTCAGGGAAATCACCCAGCCAACTTGGGCTCTTATTGTCCAACGACAGGTTATAGCCTGGCCTTGCACTGCAGGGAAAATGTCCGGAAACTGAATCACGCCACTGGGCGAGTCAAGATTTCCACCACATACGTAGCTGGACTTATCAGTTACCACCGACGGTCCAGAATCTTGTTTCTCAGATGGACTGGTGGATGCAGGTAATAATCTATAGTCAGATGTCTCAGCTTTGGAAGATGCATAACTTATGTAGAACTCTCCACCAAGCCCATAGTAACTCACAAATTCCACAATCATTGTATTGGAGGATGAATACAAGACGTCAGGGAGGTCTTGACCACAGTATACATGTTTTACACCAACAGATTCACTTCTGCCATCCGTTACACTCATATGAGTATACCTCAAGTCGCACTGATCATCCACTGCAACAGAATCAAGCTCAAATGTTAAGAAAGATAGCGCTATGGTCGACTGAGGTCCAACAGTGATATTCCATGTGCAGGTTACCCTGGACACATAGTCCTCAGGAACGTTTGGTGACTGTATTACTCCGTTAGGCTTGTTGAGATTCCCACCGCATTCATACGGGAGTGCAGGCTGCAAAGGTGTGGACGCTGTTCCTGCTAATGCACTTCCCACTGTTGGATGTGACATTGTCGCAATGAATCTATTCTCAGGCTTCACACTAGTGTAATAAGCACTGAACCCTCTTCCATAGCCAAAGTGGGTAACGAATGCAATGATCAGTGTGTTCGTGGATGACACAAAGACATCCGGGACACTCCGACCACAAAATAGTTGAGCTGGACCCCCTGGTTCACCATCGGTTATACTAACATAGTCATACCTTGCATCACAAAGATTACCATTCACAGGAAAGGAATCCAAATCAAAGTCAGTAAATGTTAGGACAATAATCAGCTGATCAAGCACTGTGATTTTCCACTCGCACCTAACACTCTTTTCCAGCGGTTGTTTTGTAATGTCTGGTGAATGTATTTCTCCAGTTGGCGCACTCAGGAGACCGCCGCAAGGAAATGCACGTTGTTCTGTGGTTGACTCTAAAGGAGTTGCGGTGATAACCCTGGGAGGAAGCAATTCATCATCAGGTTCTAAAGCAGCATATGTAGCAAGGAAACGGTGCTCAATTCCAAAATTGCTAAAGAATTCAATAATGAGGGTTCTTGTGTCGGATACTATTACAGGAGGCTTATCCCAGCCACACAATATGTATTTGAGGGTTTCAGTGTCAACCACTTTGATGTGAGCATACCTCTCATCGCACTGGCCATCAATTGGGATGGAATCAAGTTCAAATGTTGTGAAGTTCAGGACAATGACCCAACCAGCATCAACTGTTATATTCCACCTGCAGTGGACAGAAGGCAAGTATCCTTTTTCATAATCGGGTGCCTCAATCACACCACTAGGCTCATTCAGATTCCCTCCGCAACGGTAGGTTAGTTCAGTTGCTTCAGGTGGCTGAAATTGATGAGGTGTCGTGTGTTGGCTCTGCTCAGTCAATCCTCTGCTATCAACTGGTAGGGAAGCTGAGTAATATGCACGAAACCCTCCACTGTAGCCATAAGCACTCTCAAAGCGGACCAAAATTGTATTTTTGGAGGATATATATGTGGGTGGTGTTTCTTGTCCACAGTAGGTGTAGCTACTGTCCAGATCTAGTATCTTGACATGGGCATAACTCTCATCGCACCTGTTGTCGATTGGTATAGAATCCAAGTCAAATTCTATGAAATTCAGAACAATGATTCTTCCAACGGCCACTGTGATGTTCCACTGGCAATTGGCTACTGTCTTTAAGTCATCCGAAACCTGAGGTGAGTGAATATCACCTTGAGATCTGTTTAAGATTCCTCCACACTGAAATGATGGTTCTGATGTAGATAGAGGGATTAGGACTTTTGGTGGAGCAGATGAAAATACTATGTTCTTGTCAGTAACACTAAACTGTGCGCTAAAACCTCCACTGTAGCCAAACCTACTCACAAAGGTGATGCTTATTGTGTTGCTGGATGAGACGAACACTGGTGGTAGTTCCTGACCACAGTAAGTGTAACTGTTCCCTCCTAATCCATCCTGTATTTTCAAGTGATCATATTCCTCATTGCACCACTCATCGATCGGTAGAGAATCCAAATCAAAAGCAGTAAAAGTTATGACAATGACTTGTCGTACATCTACTGTGATATTCCAATAGCATCTGACACCAGACTCAGAGCCATCAGGAATGTTAGGCAACTGAATCCTGCCACTAGGTTGATGGAAGCTTCCCCCACATAATGGCTCAGACGTCGACATATCAGGAATTGCTGCACGGTCCTCAACTTTCTCCATAACATACTCTGCACGGAATCTCAATCCATATCCATAGCCACTGATCAATGTCACAGTCAGTGTATTGGAAGAGGACACAACTAATGGAGGTATTTCAGTTCCACAAAATACTTGTTTCTGACCAATACCAGTACTACTTCCTCCATCAACTTCAACATGAGAATATCTCTGGTCACATTGGCCATCTTCAACGGAAGAGTCCATGATAAAATCAGTGAAGGTCAATATGATGATTTGCCCAACAGGTGCTGTGATATTCCACTGGCATTTCAATCCCATCGCAACATCTCCAGGAAGCACTGGTGACTGAATTACACCCCGAAGAGTATTCAGGTTCCCTCCACATTGTTGCAATGGCTTTGTTGTTGAGGGTTGCATAAGGACCTCTGGGGAAGAGGTTTGTGATGACACATCCTTGGAAGCCCTATAAAGTGCACTAAACCCTCCACTGTAGCCCAACTTCCTGACAAAGGTGATGCCAATTGTGTTGCTTGAAGAGACAAACACTGGTGGTAGTTCTTGACCACAGTAAGTGTGACTGTTCCCTCTTAATCCATCCAGTATTTTCAAGTGATCATATTCTTCATTGCACCACTCATTAATCGGTAAGGAATCCAAATCAAAAGCAGTAAAAGTAATAACAATGACATGTCCTACATCTACTGTGATATTCCAATAGCATCTGACACTAGACTCAGAGTCATCTGGAAAGTTAGGTGAGTCAATCCTACCACTGGGTTGATGGAAGCTTCCCCCACATAACGGCTCAGATGTGGACATATCAGGAATTGCTGCACGGTCCTCAACTTTCACCATAACATACTCTGCACGGAATCTCATTCCATATCCGTAGCCACTGATCAATGTCACAGTCAGTGTATTGGAAGAGGACACCACTAATGGAGGTATTTCAGTTCCACAAAATACTTGTTTCCTACCGATTCCAGTACTACTTCCACCATCAACTTCAACGTGGGAATATCTCTCGTCACATTGGCCATCTTCAATGGAAGAGTCCATGATAAAATCAGTGAAAGTCAATACGATGATTTGTCCAACAGGCGCAGTGATATTCCACTGGCATTTCAATCCCATCGCAACATCTTCAGAAAGCACAGGTGACTGAATGACACCGCTAGAAGTATTCTGGTTCCCTCCACATTGTTGCAATGGCTTTCTTGTTGAGGGTTGCATAAGGACCTCCGGGGAAGAAGTTTGTGATGGCACACCCTTGGAAACCCTATAAAGTGCACTGAAACCTCCACTGTAGCCCAACTTCCTGACAAAGGTGATGCCAATTGTATTGCTTGAAGAGACAAACACTGGTGGTAGTTCCTGACCACAGTAAGTGTAACTGTTCCCTCCCAATCCATCCTGTATTTTCAAGTGATCATATTCCTCATTGCACCTTTCATCTATCGGTAGAGAATCCAAATCAAATGCAATAAAATTGATGATGATTACTTCTCCTATATCTACTGTGATATTCCAATAGCAGCTGACACCAATCTCAGAGTCATCAGGAAAGTTAGGCGAGTGAATGCTGCCACTGGGTTGATGGAAACTACCCCCACATAATGGCTCAGATGTCGACATATCAGGAATTGCTGCACGGTCCTCAACTTTCACCATAACATACTCTGCACGGAATCTCATTCCATATCCATAGCCACTGATCAATGTCACAGTCAGTGTGTTGGAAGAGGACACGACTAATGGAGGTATTTCAGTTCCACAAAATACTTGTTTCCGACCAATACCAGTACTACTTCCTCCATCAACTTCAACATGAGAATATCTCTGGTCACATTGGCCATCTTCAACGGAAGAGTCCATGATAAAATCAGTGAAAGTCAATATGATGATTTGCCCAACAGGTGCTGTGATATTCCACTGGCATTTCAATCCCTTCGCAACATCTCCAGAAAGCACAGGTGACTGAATGACACCCCTAAGAGTATTCAGGTTCCCTCCACATTGTTGCAATGGCTTTGTTGTTGAGGGTTGCATAAGGACCTCTGGGGAAGAGGTTTGTGATGACACATCCTTGGCAACCCTATAAAATGCACTAAACCCTCCAAAGTAGCCCAACTTCCTGACAAAGGTAATGCCAATTGTATTGCTTGAAGAGACAAACACTGGTGGTAGTTCCTGACCACAGTAAGTGTAACTGTTCCCTCCTAATCCATCCTGTATTTTTAGGTGATCATATTCCTCATTGCACCACTCATCGATTGGTAAAGAATCCAAATCAAAAGCAGTAAAAGTTATGACAATGACTTGTCCTACATCTACTGTGATATTCCAATAGCATCTTACACTAGACTCAGAGTCATCTGGAAAGTTAGGCGAGTCAATGCTGCCACTGGGTTGATGGAAACTACCCCCACATAATGGCTCAGATGTCGACATATCAGGAATTGCTGCACGGTCCTCAACTTTCTCCATAACATACTCTGCACGGAATCTCATTCCATATCCGTAGCCACTGATCAATGTCACAGTCAGTGTATTGGAAGAGGACACCACTAATGGAGGTATTTCAGTTCCACAAAATACTTGTTTCCCACCGATTCCAGTACTACTTCCACCATCAACTTCAACGTGGGAATATCTCTCGTCACATTGGCCATCTTCAATGGAAGAGTCCATGATAAAATCAGTGAAAGTCAATACGATGATTTGCCCAACAGGCGCAGTGATATTCCACTGGCATTTCAATCCCATCGCAACATCTTCAGAAAGCACAGGTGACTGAATGACACCCCTAGGAGTATTCAGATTCCCTCCACATTGTTGCAATGGCTTTGTTGTTGAGGGTTGCATAAGAACCTCTGGGGAAGAGGTTTGTGATGACACATCATTGGAAGCCCTATAAAGTAAACTGAAACCTCCACTGTAGCCCAACTTCCTGACAAAGGTGATGCCAATTGTATTGCTTGAAGAGACAAACACTGGTGGTAGTTCTTGACCACAGTAAGTGTAACTGTTCCCTCCAAATCCATCCTGTATTTTCAAGTGATCATATTCCTCATTGCACCACTCATCGATCGGTAAGGAATCCAAATCAAAAGCAGTAAAAGTAATGCCAATGACTTGTCCTACATCTACTGTGATATTCCAATAGCATCTGACACTAGACTCAGAGTCATCAGGAAAGTTAGGCGAGTCAATCCTGCCACTGGGTTGATGGAAACTACCCCCACATAATGGCTCAGATGTCGACATATCAGGAATTGCTGCACGGTCCTCAACTTTCACCATAACATACTCTGCACGGAAACTCATACCATATCCATAGCCACTGATCAATGTCACAATAAGTCTATTCGAAGAGGACACAACTAATGGAGGTATTTCAGTTCCACAAAATACTTGTTTCCCACCGACACCAATACTACTTCCACCATCAACTTCAACATGAGAATATCTCTCGTCACAAGAGCCATCTTCAACGGAAGAGTCCATGATAAAATCAGTGAAAGTCAATACAATGATTTGCCCAACAGGTGCTGTGATATTCCACTGGCATTTCAATCCCATCGCAACATCTTGAGAAAGCACAGGTGACTGAATGACACCCCTAGGAGTATTCAGGTTCCCTCCACATTGACGCAATGGCTTTCTTGTTGAGGGTTGCATAAGAACCTCAGGGGAAGAGGTTAGTGACGACCCATCTTTGGAAACCCTATAAAAAGCACTGAAACCTCCACTGTAGCCCAACTTCCTGACAAAGGTGATGCCAATTGTATTACTTGAAGAGACAAACACTGGTGGTAGTTCCTGACCACAGTAAGTGTAACTGTTCCCTCTCAATCCATCCTGTATTTTCAAGTGATCATATTCCTCATTGCACCTTTCATTTATCGGTACAGAATCCAAATCAAATGCAGTAAAATTGATGACGATAACTTGTCCTACATCTACTGCGATATTCCAATAGCAGCTGACACCAATCTCAGAGTCATCAGGTAAGTTAGGGGAGTCAATCCTGCCACTGGGTTGATGGAAACTACCCCCACATAATGGCTCAGATGTCGACATACCAGGAATTGCTGCACGGTCTTCAACTTTCTCCATAACATACTCTGCACGGAATCTAACCCCATATCCGTAGGCAATGATAAATGTCACAGTTAGTGTATTGGAAGAGGTCACCACTAATGGAGGTATTTCAGTTCCACAAAATACTTGTTTCCGACTGATACCAGTAGTACTTCCACCATCAACTTTAACATGAGAATATCTCTCATCACACTGGCCATCTTCAACAGAAGAGTCCATAATAAAATCAGTGAAAGTCAATACGATGATTTGCCCAACAGGTGCTGTGATATTCCACTGGCATTTCAATCCCATCGCAACATCTTCAGAAAGCACAGGTGACTGAATGACACCCCTAGGAGTATTCAGGTTCCCTCCACATTGTTGCAATGGCTTTGTTGTTGAGGGTTGCAAAAGGACCTCTGGGGAAGAAGTTTGTGATGACACACCCTTGGAAGCCCTATAAAGTGCACTGAAACCTCCACTGTAGCCCAACTTACTGACAAAGGTGATGCCAATTGTATTGCTTGAAGAGACAAACACTGGTGGTAGTTCCTGACCACAGTAAGTGTAACTGTTCCCTCCCAATCCATCCTGTATTTTCAAGTGATCATATTCCTCATTGCATCCTTCATCTATCGGTACAGAATCCAAATCAAATGCAGTAAAATTGATGACGATAACTTGTCCTACATCTACTGCGATATTCCAATAGCAGCTGACACCAATCTCAGAGTCATCCGGTAAGTTAGGTGAGTGAATCCTGCCACTGGGTTGATGGAAGCTACCCCCACATAATGGCTCAGTTGTCGACATATCAGGAATTGCTGCACGGTCCTCAACTTTCTGCATAACATACTCTGCACGGAATCTCATTCCATATCCATAGCCACTGACCAATGTCACAATCAGTGTATTCGAAGAGGACATGACTAATGGAGGTATTTCAGATCCACAAAATACTTGTTTCCGACCGATACCAGTACTTCTTCCATCATCAACTTCAACATGGGAATATCTCTTGTCACATTGGCCATCTTCAATGGAAGAGTCCATGATAAAATCAGTGAAAGTCAATACGATGATTTGCCCAACAGGTGCTGTGATATTCCACTGGCATTTTAATCCCACCCCAACATCTTCAGAAAGCAGAGGTGACTGAATGACACCCCTAGGAGTATTCAGGTTCCCTCCACATTGTTGCAATGGCTTTGTTGTTGAGGGTTGCATGAGGACTTCCGAAGGAGACGTTTTAGATGACACATCCCTGGAAACCCTATAAAGTAAACTGAAACCTCCACTGTAGCCCAACTTCCTGACAAAGGTGATGCCAACTGTATTGCTTGAAGAGACAAACACTGGTGGTAGTTCCTGACCACAGTAAGTGTAACTGTTCCCTCCAAATCCATCCTGTATTTTCAAATGATCATATTCCTCATTGCACCTTTCAGCTATCGGTACAGAATCCAAATCAAATGCAGTAAAATTGATGGTGATTACTTGTCCTGCATCTACTGTGATATTCCAATAGCAGCTGACACCAATCTCAGAGTCATCAGGTAAGTTAGGGGAGTCAATCCTGCCACTGGGTTGATGGAAACTACCCCCACATAATGACTCAGATGTTGACAAATCCGGAATTGTTGCACGGTCCTCGACCTTCTCCATAACATACTCTGCACGGAATCTCATTCCATATCCATAGCCACTGATCAATGTCACAGTCAGTGTATTAGAAGAGGACACAACTAATGGAGGTATTTTAGTTCCACAAAATACTTGTTTCTGACCAATACTACTACTACTGCCACCATCAACTTCAACATGAGAATATCTCCTGTCACATTGGCCATCTTCAACAGAAGAGTCCATGATAAAATCAGTAAAAGTCAATACGATGATTTGCCCAACAGGTGCTGTGATATTCCACTGGCATTTCAATCCCATCGCAACATCTTCAGGAAGCACAGGTGACTGAATGACACCCCTAGGAGTATTCAGGTTCCCTCCACATTGTTGCAAGGGCTTTCTTGTTGAAGGTTGCATAAGGACCTCTGGGGAAGCAGCTTGTGATGACACATCCTTGGCAACCCTATAAAGTGCACTGAAACCTCCACTGTAGCCCAACTTACTGACAAAGGTGATGCCAATTGTATTGCTTGAAGAGACAAACACTGGTGGTAGTTCCTGACCACAGTAAGTGTAACTGTTCCCTCCAAATCCATCCTGTATTTTCAAGTGATCATATTCCTCATTGCACCTTTCATCTATTGGTACAGAATCCAAATCAAATGCAGTAAAATTGATGATGATAACTTGTTCTATATCTACTGTGATATTCCAATAGCAGCTGACACCAATCTCAGAGTCATCCGGTAAGTTAGGCGAGTGAATCCTGCCACTGGGTTGATGGAAGCTTCCCCCACAAAATGGCTCAGATGTCGACATATCAGACATTGCCACACGGTCCTCAACTTTTTCCATAACATACTCTGCACGGAATCTCATTCCATATCCATAGCCTCTGATCAATGTCACAGTAAGTGTATTCGAAGAGGACACCAGTAATGGAGGTATTTCAGTTCCACAAAATACTTGTTTCTGACCAATACCACTACTTCTGCCACCATCAACTTCAACATGAGAATATCTCCTGTCACATTGGCCAACTTCAACGGAAGAGTCCATGATAAAATCAGTGAAAGTCAATACGATGATTTGCCCAACAGGTCCAGTGATATTCCACTGGCATTTCAATCCCATCCCAACATCTTCAGAAAGCACAGGTGACTGAATGACACCCCTAGGAGTATTTAGGTTCCCTCCACATTGTTGCAATGGCTTTCTTGTTGAGGGCTGCATAAGGACCTCCGGAGAAGAAGTTTGTGATGACACATCCTTGGCAGCCCTATAAAAAGCACTGAAACCTCCACTGTAGCCCAACTTCCTGACAAAGGTGATGCCAATTGTATTGCTTGAAGAGACAAACACTGGTGGTAGTTCCTGACCACAGTAAGTGTAACTGTTCCCTCCAAATCCATCCTGTATTTTCAAGTGATCATATTCCTCATTGCACCTTTCATCTATCGGTACAGAATCCAAATCAAATGCAGTAAAATTGATGGTGATTACTTGTCCTATATCTACTGTGATATTCCAATAGCAGCTGACTCCAATCTCAGAGTCATCAGGAAAGTTAGGCGAGTGAATCCTGCCACTGAGTTGATAGAAGCTTCCCCCACATAATGGCTCAGATGTTGACAAATCAGGAATTGCTGCACGGTCCTCAACTTTCTCCATAACATACTCTGCACGGAATCTCATTCCATATCCATAGCCACTGATCAATGTCACAGTCAGTGTATTAGAAGAGGACACAACTAATGGAGGTATTTCAGTTCCACAAAATACTTTTTTCCCACCGATACCGTTACTACTTCCACCATCAACTTCAACGTGAGAATATCTCTCGTCACATTGGCCATCTTCAACGGAAGAGTCCATGATAAAATCAGTGAAAGTCAATACGATGATTTGCCCAACAGGTGTAGTGATATTCCACTGGCATTTCAATCCCATCGCAACATCTTCAGAAAGCACAGGTGACTGAATGACACCCCTAGGAGTGTTCAGGTTTCCTCCACATTGTTGCAATGGTTCTCTTGTTGAGGGTTGCATTACAACCTCCGGGGAAGAAGTTTGTGATGACACATCCTTGGCAACCCTATAAAATGCACTGAAACCTCCACTGAAGCCTAACTTCCTGACAAAGGTGATGCCAATTGTATTGCTTGAAGAGACAAACACTGGTGGTAGTTCCTGACCACAGTAAGTGTAACTGTTTCCTCCAAATCCATCCTGTATTTTCAAGTGATCATATTCCTCAATGCACCTTTCATCTATCGGTACAGAATCCAAATCAAATGCAGTAAAATTGACGATGATAACTTGACCTACATCTACTGTGATATTCCAATAGCAGCTGACACCAATCTCAGAGTCATCAGGTAAGTTAGGCAAGTCAATCCTGCCACTGGGTTGATGGAAACTACCCCCACATAATGGTTCAGATGTCGACATATCAGGTATTGCAGCAAGGTCTTCAACTTTCTCCATAACATACTCTGCACGAAATCTAACTCCATATCCGTAGGCACTGATAAATGTCACAGTTAGTGTATTGGAAGAGGTGACCACTAATGGAGGTATTTCAGTTCCACAAAAAACTTGTTTCTGACCAATACCAGTGTTACTTCTACTATCAACTTCAACATGAGAATATCTCTCATCACATTGGCCATCTTCAAAAGAAGAGTCCATGATAAAATCAGTGAAAGTGAGATGGATAATTTGGTCGACAGGTGCCGTGATTTTCCACTGGCATTTAATATCCATCGCAACATCTTCAGAAAGCAGAGGTGACTGAATAACACCCCTGGGGTCGCTTAGGTTTCCTCCACATTGATGCAGTGGTTTTCTTGTTGAGGGTTGCATAAGGACATCAGTGGAAGTACTCTGTGACAACCCATCCTCAGAAACCCTATAAAGTGCACCGAAACCTGCACTGTAGCCCAACTTCCTGACAAAGGTGATGCTTATTGTATTGCTGGAAGAGACAAACATTGGCGGTAGTTCCTGACCACAGTAAGTGTAACTGTTCCCTCCGAACCCATCCTCTATTTTCACATGATCATATTCCTCGCTGCACCAGTTGTCCATTGGTATCGAGTCCACGTCAAAAGTAGTAAAATTTAAGACAATGAATCGTCCAGTGTCTACTGATATATTCCACTGGCAGCTGATTACACTCTCGAAGTCATCAGGTACGTTGGGCGTTTGAATCCTGCCGCTGGGTTGATGAAAGCTACCGCCACAAGCAAGAACCTTCTGTTTTTGCATGATGTAATGTGCTTGGAATCCTCTACCATATCCATAGCCACTGACAAATGTTATGATCAATGTATTTGAAGAGGAACTTACCAATGGAGGGATTTTGTGGCCACAAAACATATGTTTAATGCCCTGACCACTTCCATCCTCAACTTTGACGTAAGCGTATTTTTCATCGCATGGACTATCCTCAGGTTGGGCGGAGTCCAAGTCAAAATGAGTGAAATTGAGTACAATGGTACCGCGGGGGCTGACAGTAATGTTCCAGCGGGAGACGACACCCATCGGGTAGGCATCCGGATAATTTGGCGACTGCAGTTCCCCAGAAGGGTTGTCAAGATTAAAGTTGAAATCCCAAGGTGTGCTTGTCTGAGTACTTTCTCCACTAGTACTGCTTGTTTGTGTCGTCCTGAGAGGGGTTCGTGAAGGAGGTTGGGTTACAAATGATTGCTGTTCAGTTTTGCTGGAGTTGGGTTTTGATGGTTCTTCGGTGGTAACAAATAGCTCCCACGTTGTTTGTAACTCAGAAGTGGATGCATCGTCTGGATAAAAACTCGGCAAAGTAGATGAATCTCTTGGAGTAAAGCTTGGCAATTCAGTACTATGTTCTGTTGCCTGGGATTCAGAATGCGACTGCCCCTGAGGGGTTTCCAGATGTGACTCTAAGGAAACTGGCTGACTGAAACCATTGCTTTGCTTTTCTACGGTGGGGTTCGGTGATGGTATGTCCCTAACCGTTTGCTGTCTTGCTTCAGTGGCAATTGGAGGAGCGAATGTTTTAGTAACAACTGTCGAGCCCTCTTGCGTAACATAAAGGACAGGTCCCCGGCTGGGATTTCCAAATGCAATGGATTCAAATGGCAAGTCAATGGTTGTTAAATCATCACCTTTTTGCGCTGGCAGAAACGTAGAGCCTTCATTGGAAGACATTGCTGACCCTGTGCTCTCACTCGTCTGTTGGTCTATAGTCGAAGTTGTCATCATGTGTATACGCTGGCCAGACGGTTTAAAAGTCAACTGGTCAGCAACATAATCAGAAGAATCCAAGGCTTCGACTGCCATGAAGCTGATCAGAAAGCCCTTTCCTGTGTCTCTTTCGTTGCTGTGGAACATGACAAACGCCTTATTAGTGATTGATACAATGGGCGATGGCTTTCTAGAATCAGAGAATGGACTGCAGAAGATTCCAAGGTGCCTGCCAGAGCTTGTGCCATCTCGGATCATCAGGTAATCTTCCCTGTCAGTGCACCAACCAGTTGCACCCCCTCTGACATCCATCAACATGAAGCGTATCAGGATCTGAAACAGGAAAACAGTGAAAGAAACTTATTTTTTTCTATTTTTACTAACCTAAAACATCGAATAAATCTCAAGCATTTGCTCAACCAATATTTACTTTTAACTTTTACCTCAAGAAAGTAGGTTCCCTTTGGTAAAATTTAAGATTTGTATATTTGAAGTGAGCACTTTGACATGGGTACATGTAGAGTCTGTTATATTAATTTTTTATTTTAATCAATTCTGCTTTGAAAACAGTTAAAAACACTTAAAAACAAAAACTCACAATAACACTTGCATTTTGCATGTGAGAACATGATGCCAAAATGACTACCTAAAATTCCAAATTTTAGCCCCCTCCACAAAAAAAGGGGTCTTTTTGTGACAAAAACACAGTTTACCAGTATTCCATCTGATTGATACACAACTTAAATAAAAGGTCTTGTTGTCCCTTTTCATTTGATACCACATTTGAGGTTGTGATGCTTGTATTGCACGAAATTGCCTGCTGTTACTGCTCAAGTAACAAGAAAGATAGGGTGGGTCTGGTAGAGCTAGCCCCAGAGTGTACACAATTTGTTTCAACTGATTGAGAAAATGGCCAGGTTCAAAGATGTATAAAATCCAATATGATCGGATCAGTTTCTTTCATAATTTTTTTGTCCAAAGGCAGCATTTCAGCACGTTTGATCATGCTGTTGAAATTTCATTTCAGCTTGACAGACTTACATTATGTACTTCGTGAAATCCATATTGCGAGTGATTTGATACCAGTATCTGGTACTTGATATCTTAGTTGAAGTATGTAATTTCAAGTTGAAAGAATGAGTACTGATGTGATGGTGCTCATTGTTTGTAAGAACTAGCTGTCTGACAAATTTACATTTCCAGGATGAAATTGAAATGGCATACCTTTTTACTAGCAGGTACTTCTAGCGTCCATTCACACAGGAGATTTGGTCTGTACGTGGAAGGGAACCCTGGTGACAGGACGTGCCCCGAGTCTGCGCGAATGGTTTGTCCACATCCTGCCATGAAATAAAAAGCAAGCAATGAAGTAAAACTTTGGCAATTGTGTGTCTTTCTTCCTTCATTCTCAGGGAGTTTGCAATATATAAATATTGCAAACTCCCTGTGAATAAATAACCTTGTCTTGTACCAATCCAAGAATCCCAACATCTGGGCATCTTTTTTTCCTCACTTTTGTAGGCTGCTCTTGTTGTTATGTAACAAGGAGTTATGTCACTCACAATACTACATTATTTGGCAATTTCCCCAAATTCCTAATAATTGGATGATAGTCTCTTCCTCTTCCTGAATGAACAATGTGAGGACGTGTTGTATTTTCATCCAAAATTTGTCCATAAAGACCTCATGCTTTAGGGTGGAGTCAGAGGGCAAACGTTCTGTATATCGCTGGGTTAGTCATGACTAAAACCTTTGTGCATTCACTGCAACTACAATGTAACTTAAAATAATAAACACACTCCGCGATACATAAAGTCCTTTCATTCCTTTTTCAAATCGGGTCTATGCAATTATGAAAATCAGTAAAATTGCTAATTCCCTTCCAGTGTTTTGAAATATAGTACCAGGTTAACTTGTCATGTAGACTACAATCCCGGCCAAAATGGTTGGGACACTTGGAAATAACCTGATCCTCCCACAGTCACCAACTCCCCTTGTCAATGTTGTTCTCTCCAGCTGATGGAGCACACACCGTGCAATGAGAGACAACATTGACCGGGGGCCGGGGGGGGGGGGGGGGGCCCAGTGAGAATTGGCCGGGATGTACAAATTACTATGCCCATTTGGGAAGTGTTTGTGGTGGGACTGTTCCCAAACCAAGTTATTCCTCGGACCAGGGACTACACAAGCAGTCTAAAGGCTAAAGGATGCAGGCTCGTTTTGGGTGGAAATCTACCGCCGTAGGAATGGATTCTTAGACCTTCTGTTAATTAGGCAATTACACAAACACAAGGATAACTGGCAACTGAATGGTCGGTAACTCAGGTGACCACGATGATTTATTGCAGAGACAACAATTAAATGATTAAATGATTGTCTTGGGAACCTTTATTACAACCTGTGGTTTCTTAACGAGCCCTATTTGCAATACACAGCTAATATCGCACTGCTCACTCCTATAAGCACTGCACAAACTAATGCTGCATTCCAGGAATGCTTTAGCAATGCGCAACCAATGCTGCAATACAGGAACGCTATAGCAATGAACAAGCCAATGCTGCATTACAGGAACGCTATAGCAATGAACAAGCCAATGCTGCACTGCACACACCGGGAGATAAATGCTCCGTGCCGCTGAGCAGTCTCTCGGAGAACGCCAAAGCACACATGCTATGGGGAAAGGAACTTAGTTTGCTGGGGCGAAGGGAGGTGTGGTCGGTCGCATTCTGGGTTCGCAACAATACAATAACATGAACATGTGCATAAAAACTACACTTTCCGTCACATTGGCCCGAGTATGGCGATGTATGTCCCCATACACCATAAGCCATTATACAAAATAAAAGGAAAATGTGACTAAATCTTAACTTCTCCTTTAAATTACAATATAAAACATAAGGGGGGGAGAAGATTTCCAAGCTCATTAAATATTCACAAGCTCTTATGCACAGGATAAAGGAACTTGCCTTACATGTACTCTACATGTACATGTACAAGAACACCAAAATTTGCTAATTTAAATTTTCACAAGATTTAACAGGGAATTATCGTACACAATTTGCCTTAAATTTAGCTCATTAAGTATTCACAAGAAATGTTACAGATAATTTGCACTAATTTTACAACGATTAAAATATAAATGCTCTGAAACAATTTTTTTATGATCACATGCCGGAACTTGAGGGTAATTTTGAGAATTATAAAAAGTTACTGAATTTAATTTATAAAACTTGGTTTAAAACATAACAGTTCTGAATAAGTCGCTCGCTGGGTTCGTCCTCGTCCACCAAGACTTGACTGGCTTGAAGTACACCCTGTTGTGCTCCTGGGAGGCAACTTCGTTGCCATCCAGCTACGTCTGGGTCTAGGTACATTCATGCAAGGCCACCATCTCTCGGGTGGGGTCGACTCCTTAGGTTTGGGTCTCTGCTGCGTTCTCGCTCTGGGCTGCTTTGTACCTCCTAAGACGAGCTGCTAACCCCAGCCTAGTTCCACCGGGATAACCATACCGATGCAAGCTTAGCACAACGGCAGAAGTCCATTCACCATAAGATGACGAGATGCAGGACCCCCGAACTCAAACAAGTAAAACATGAACAATAACTGAAAAAACTCAACACCAAACAATTACCATTGTCCATGATAGGCAATGGCCCAAGCAAGCCTATTGCTACTTGCTCAACCGACAACCGACTCGATACTGCTGTGCCGCCCTTTCATAGCATCCGAACTCCTCCTGACACAGACATCACATCCCCGCAGGAATGACCGTACGTCCACCGACACACATGTCCAGAAGTACGTGGCTTTCACTTTAGCCAGAGTTTTACTGACCCCAAAGTGACCATCAAGTTGTCCACCGTGCAACTCCGACAAAATTCCCTTACGGAACTTTGATGGCACAACAACTAGCCAACGAACAGACTTTCCGTTATTGGAGTCCCACCTCCTATGCAGAACTCCTCCCCGGACCTCCAATTGGTCCCACTGTGACCACTAGGCCTTGCAGGCTGAAGACAAGTGGGAAACTGTCTTCCACTCAGGACGACCATTATCCTCCATCTTCAACCTTAGGCCAAAAAAAAGAATAGTTCTGCTTCCGGTTACCCGACCGACCCTATTTTTAGGCTGCGACCCTAAAAATTTTATCGGCTTTTCGAAAAAAAAAAAAAAAAAAATGATTGAATAAATAAAGATAAGAACCTTATGTCTTGTCTGTCTTCACAAAATACCTCTAAACAACCCTTTTGCATCAAAAAATGCTTGTATTTATTGTTTTCTTACTTACATTCACTATTTTTTCAAAAGAAACCTCCGTTATTTTTACAAATTCGCTGCGCGATTCAACTACTTCGCAATTCGATGTCTATAATCACGTGCGTATTAAGCGCAATGCGGCGACGACTGGTTCCCGCCGCGCCGCGCAGGGGCCAATTATGAAAATGCGGTAACTAGTCTGTGCACGGCTATGCGATCGTTAGCGCTAGCATGGCTATGCAGGCGCAGGCACGTGCTCCGTCAACTGGTCGGACTCGACATCGTAAAAATGCTGAGAAAGACATCGTAAAAATGCCAAGAAAACACCGATGGAGAAAGAACATTTTTGCAAGTTAAATCACAGATTTGATCTAGCTTGTCTGTGTACATGTATTTTCCGTGTTCAAGAGTTCATTTTGAGATCGCGCTACTCGTATTTGGAGTGATACAATGCAGCGTGTTTCCTGAAATGTTCGACCCGTTGGCCGCGGGCCACATATGTACATGTACAGTACATCACACACTTCGGAGTTTTGGCCAGCTCTCCTTCTTGACTAGCGTTGTGCCTATGGTGCGAACGACCTGAATTTCCCACAATTTTTTTTACATATTATCGAACGTAAATATATTGACAATAATTAAGGTAGGTTTAATTCACTTTTTTTGGCCATTTTGTGTATAGCTTTTGTAGTGCAATGGAAATAGTTCAGGCTAAAACTTCGCATATAATTGAATACCCCATTCAATCTGCATAAAAAAAATTGGCAAAAAAAACTTAAAATTCCGACCAACCGACCCTATTTTTGAAAGGCATGTAATCGGAAGCAGAACTATTCTTTTTTTTGGCCTTATGAGCCAACTCATAGTGCTATCTCTCAACTGTGCTTCTCGAGACAGGGTTGTTTGGGCGGCTACGCCCCTAACCAAAAACTCACCACCGCGAGGTTGCCTCTCTGGCACCTCACCAGTTGCCTCATCCTCACTGACTGCCTCATCACGGCCGCACTGTGTGCACTGCCGTCTCGATGACCAACCAGTATTACCATGCCTTCTTTGATGCTTGACCACAT